TTAAGAGCGATGAAAACTTTGCCACGATAGAAGGAGTCATCTGCACTTTCTGGGACATCAGACACAAGGATAACACTGGGTGTCAACTTCAGCTTGGTGAAATCATGGTCTGCAACTGCAAATGTTGTATTCTTTGCCACTAGTACAGATTTCCCACGATCCACTGCAGCAACAGGGAAACCTGGTTCACCTACTTTGATGGCATGTTTGTCATCAAGAAAAACGACAGAACATGATTGCCTGAACATGACAGCAAACTCTCTGAAGTACCGGAATACCGCAGCTGCATAGTGGCAATCTGGATGATCATGGTTCAACTGCCTACTCTGCACCATGTATTTCACTCCAAGTCTTCCGGTGTAGCGGATTGCTCTGTCAACAAATGCGTTTTTGGGCCAGAACTGCAGGCTGACCCACGTTGAAGATGGTACCTTTGCTCCTTCTGGAAGCCTCTTGAAAACCTGATTGATGAAGTCTGGGACAGACAGTGCGAGAGCCATGTGGCAAACTTGACCATGCCTTCTGTCGTCCACTGTTGCTAGCTGCATCTCTTCTATGAACTTTGTTGCTTCATCCCAAAACTCTGCGTACATCTCGTGTCGTCCCTCATTTCTTGATCTCATGTCAACAATTAGATCTACATCCTGTGCATCTAACATGATCTTTAGTCTTTGTCTGATCTCCTTGCTTGAGATGCACTCCTCTGTTGCATCATCATTAGTCAGGAATTGGTACATCTCCTTCAAAATGACTGGCTTTGCATTTGTAACCAATGAGAACCTATCTCTGAACTGTTTCCGCATTTCCCTTGTGTGGTATGTGGGCATGTCTTTCTCAGCCTGATGCATCATTTTCCTGGTGTTGTTTAAGTCTCTCATCTCTTGTGATGGAACCTTCCAGGCAAAATGCAGACATCCAAGGTTGTTCCCCAGCTTATAAGTGTAAAGTTCTATGCTCATGGGTAGCTCCAGTTCACTGATGTAATAGTACCTTTGTTTGCGGTCCGAGGGGGCAAAGTCATTCACAATGCAGAGTTCATACTCTGCAATGCTAGCAAGGTGGTTCTCCAGCTTGGTGTACCTGTTGATCAACTTTTCATTACTTCGTACTCTGGCTTCAATCACACGGAGTTCAGTACTGGTTCCATCATCCACTGATCTAGTTGGGAAGACCTGTTTCCTCTGCTCTTGCACTTTCTGGTTGGAAGCCTGCAGATGTTCACTGTACTTGCTTAGTCCCTGTCCTATCTCAACCACTATGTCTTTCTACACTTTTCAACTTGGGCTGTTGCAGCAAAGGTAGGGTGGCAACTTTGAACAGTTCTTGTGCATGCATTTCCAGGTCTCTACATGACATTGGAGTAAGAGTGTGTCGATGAAGTGTAGGATTGTTGTACACCTGTGCAAAAGTGTTCTTGTCATACAGGGATCTCAGTGCTTTGGGGAGATAGATGGAGCGGTCAGCAAGTTTCTTCAAATGTGGCAGCATGTACCAAACTGAATTCCTAATGGAAGTCATGATTTCCTTGCTTGATGCTTCATAAGCTTTGGTCCGTACAAACCTATTTTGGGGACACAAAAAAAAGCTTAGTATACTGAAAACCAAGGTCGTAAATGCATACTTTTACCCACAATTATGTACTCTGGATCCAACAGAAAAACCCTCAATGAATATCTGTAAATCTTAAAATCTTTAGTTATAAAAAGGAAAAATCTACTGTGTATAGTAACAAGTGAACTCACCTGAAACCCTGTCCCTTCAACACATCAATGATGTCATTGTATAGACGGATGTCTCCCCTAGTGTTGTTATTGCTACATTGTTGTGTGCTCCCAGTCCCAGCATAGGCTGGAAACATCCACTCCTGCTGACCTTGTTCTCTTGATGCTTTCATCATTACCTGTATACATGTGCATGTGAAAGGAAAAGTAAACCTTTTGTTCCTAGTTCACAATAAATGTGTCTTAATGCAATCAAAGAAATTGAAGAGCTGACAACGTTACTAAATTGGATATCAAAGCTAAAATGATGGGGAAAAAGAATTCTTAAGAAAGACTAAAAAATACCCCCCTCAAAAAAAATAGTACTGCAAAAAGAGCGTTGAGCTTGAATGCGTAGTTGTTTATAGCTATAGATGCAAATATACCCTAAATAATACCCTAAATATCCGACTGAAAATTAGCAATTTACGTGCCAAATGTGGACCAAAAATTAAAAAAAAAACAACACATATTTTGCCAACATCAAAGTATAAATAACCAGAAACGAATAAACGATCATTCTCCATGCAAAAATACATGCAAGCACGATGCAAGGAGCCTTGATACATTTATGCATTTATTTTATACTCCCCTTCTAGGAATATTTCTACCCGTGTTTTTTTTTTTTCGTACAAGGTACCCGATTCAAAACAGACTTTTCTTACCTCAAAAGCAGTCTTAGGCCTAGGAACACCTTCAGTCGTAGCAGCTGTCTTGTCGATCACCATACGGATGAAACACCCGAACTGCTTGGTTGCCTGCCCCACCTGTAAGCCGGAGTAAACCTCAATGCCTCTCCCGACCTTCTCGTCATTACAGAAGAATTGCACTGTTGCTGATCTTGACAAAACTTGCTTGAAATTGTGTGGTCGAAACTCACTCGCCGCTACAAGTCTCTCGTACAGTTGCGCGAAAGTTAGCTCTCCCTGGCCGACATCGAGCGCGTACCAGTCAACAACAACGTTTCCGCACGCTTGTACGACCTTAATGCTCACATACTTGGCGACCAAGGGTGGTGAGCCCACATACTCTGTAGAACACGACGCCATCTTTCCTCTTTTTAAACTGTGGCGCCCGGACTCTTGTGCGCACGTACACCATCGTTTTGCGGCCATGTGCTCTTTACGGGTTTCACGTCAATCTGACGATTTGCGGCACTGTCGTGAACCCCTTTGGTCATAGTTTACACAATTACAGGAAGCGGAATTTCTTGTTTTTTTTTCTAGGAACAGGCCAAAATCAATGCGCGCGCGGACGTCATCCATAAAATTTACTTGGTGTGGCCCTACATATAATTCCTTGCTGGCTTTCAAATTGTATCAAATGCAATTGTTGCGCAATAAACTTGACTATCACCAAGGAGGTTAACCTCCTTGCTATCACTAAGGGACACTAGGTAGCTTTTTACACAAAAATTTGAAATCTTCTTATTATACCAAGGAGATTATACTAACTCTAAGTGTTACCAGTGTTTCCTGCCTGAAACCTGCACCACGGAGGACCTGTAAGTGCTGACCCCCAGAGGAGTCTTGGAGGAGAAGAGTGCAGCAGTGGTGACCCGTGAAGAAAGAAAGAAAAAAGTGTTTCTTATCACCAAGGACATCTGTGTATAATGTCCTTGCTATCACTTTTCTTTCCCACCGACCTCTGCTTGGAGATTGGAATCTAACAGTGCTTGCAATGCATGGGTAGCCCTACTAGGGTAGCCCGTGCTGTTCTTAATTAGAGGCAGGATGCATGAGATACCAAATGCAGATAACCACATGTGGTGTGCTTAATAGTGTTATATGTTAGACGGTGGTTCAGAATGTGTGCCCTGCTTTTTCACAGTGTCTGTGTGTTAGTTTTTTGTTAGGAACCTAACAAGATAATGTAACATTGCAATGATCCCTGGGGTAACCACATGCTGATAACCACATGTGGTGCGCTTAATAGTGTCATATGTTAGACGTTGGTTCAGAATGTGTGCCCTGCTTTTTCACAGTGTCTGTGTGTTAGTTTTTTGTTAGGAACCTAACAAGATAATCTAACAGTGCAATGATCCCTGAGATAGCCACATGTGATGCTTTTAATGGTGTTAGATGTTAGACAAGAGCTCAAGATGCATGTCATTTTATCCTCAGTGTGTGCCTTCAATTGGGAAGACAGAGGCTGACATTTGCGCCACCTGTCTACATTTCCTGGAACTGCAATTACAAACAGGTGTTGTGTGCTTTTAATGCTGTTAGATGTTAGGTAATAGATAGAGCACGGTTTGAGGCTGAATACTTGGATTTAGAACTGCCCGCCCAACCTCGGGGATTTCATGTCACCCTTCTCAAATTAGGAGATGTTATTAGATGTCTGACGCCTGCGGTAGGAGTTGCGAGGCCATGATGCCATGGCCTCACCCCTTATGTTGTGTGATTGAGATGGTCACACCCCTTCGTGTAGTTAACATTTTTCAATTCCCAAGGGAAAGCCTAGTGCTATGATCAATTACGATATTTTGCATTTTACTTGAGATAAGGTCAATATTCACCTGAATTGATTTTATGCCCAAGGGAGATATAAAGCATACCCTTCTACAGCAGTTTGATTAATTCCCTAGGTGATTACCTAAATTGTCTTTCTATAGGATGTTAACCCTCCTTCAATCTGTGTAGGTTGTTACCCCTGATCCACCTAATCCCTTTTTGCAGCCTGTTAGATTTTTTGTTAGGTTTTGAAATGCCCCATGCTCTACTGGGTCCAATATCTTGCCACTACTGCTGTAGTATGTAAAAAAATGTATTGTTGGCTCCATAACATATAGGGATCACATAACAAAAATGTACACTATCTGATAAAAGTTCATTAAAGTTAGGCTTCTAGATCGTAGACATATTTGAGACTGTAAGTTGGTGGTATTAAAATCAATCGTGTATTAGGCATGACATTGGAAGCCAAAATCCTTAGAAGCCCACATCACACACACACACACACACACACACACACACACACACTACACACACTACACACACACAAACACACAAGCACACGCACACTGAGACTGAGTGACACTATGCCAATTGCATAAGATGTGTATAGTGCACAGCACGCTATTTACATGTATAGCCAGGAATGCCAAAAATCTCTCATTTTCGTAACTTTTCTATCCCGTTTCCATTAAACCAGCCACTCTACTACGGCACGTTTACACAATAGTCTTAGAAAGCTTTTCTTAATTGGTGTAAAATCAAGGGCATTATCAAACCTTACCTCGATGTAGTCCCCTGTATCTGCATTTAAATGCGAGTAACCAGTGTTACATCGTGGCAGTAAGGTTCTCAGCTGTTCGGCCGTCTGGCAAAGTGGACCTGAAAATATATATTTCTTTTTATATTCTTTTTTTATTACATGTAGTTGCATTAGGCTCATCACCCATACTCAACAAACATCTGCAGAGAAAAACATTAATAATTGAAATATAGAACATAGTAAGGAGACTGTTAAATATATATTAATAAAAAAACATGACAACCCATCAACCCATTCTCCAGCTCTTCCTTTGCAATGTACAAACAAAAAATACCTGCAGTTACAAATAGAGTTGATAGGGGGCCACATCATTTCTCCCTAGGCCTAAGATATATCTGCCAACCAGAAATCATATCCACAGTACGTTTAAAAATGGCGCAACCATAAGCCCCACTGCAATTCAATTAAAAGCCGCTGGGAGGCACTTACCCGGTACTAGCCGGACTTGTCTCAGTTGTGTCCTGCCTAGTGGATGGGTTAACATGTCCGGTAGTACCATGTCACCGTACGTGGCTTCCCCGTTGTACAGTTCTTCCGAGTGCGTGGCAGGAATCAAACCGTCCGTTACCCATTCCCAGAATGATGGAATGTCCTTAATCTGACAAGGGGAATAAAATATTCCGTAAATCGTAAAATGTTACACTCATAATTTTATCATATTTGTACAAAATAAAAGTGCTATGGACCATCCAAAAACTGTGACTGTAGTATGTCCAGAACACGATACCCATAAAACCTGACGTTACGCTGTAGTGCAAAAGAGAGCTGTCATGATGTCCAAAATCAAGTCATTTCTTAACCACATACCGATGGGTCATAATCACATACCGAATTTAACGTAAAGCTACCTAGAGCGTCCTAATTTGTGGTTCTAGACCACAAAAACCGTCATACTATAACAAACGCTACATAAAACGTAACCTTATTGCCAAAGGTGATGAAGACAACTTTTCGACGACACCTTGTTAAGCATATTTCATGGCAAAACTGAGTGAAAATTAGTTGGTTCCTTTGTTTGTGTGGTTGTTTGTTTTGTGACTTCATCATTGTTTTTATGATTTTATACCGTCAGATTTTTTATGATTTAATACTGTCTTTCTGGTGTCCGTATTGTTATACATCATTACGTATAAATAGCAAAAAATCATACAATTGGATTATATGAAATGAGCAAAGTAAAGAGCTAAACTTAAAATGATGAATAAAGGAGGTGATGTTTCTTACATCTGGAATGTCGTCCTGCCCTCCCATGATGTTCTCCCTCACGTTCTGTGTCATGTGGAAGGCCAGCGGACTCCTCTCGCCGTAAGCTACCAGCATGATGGCCGCAAAGAACAGTCCGAACACCAGCACCTCCAGAACGGCGTTACGGCGTTTACGTTTCTCTGCGCTCCTGGCCCTCACTTCTTCCAAGGTGGATTCATCCGGTGGCGATGCTGGCGTTTCATGACCTGGAGACTAGTTTCAAAAACGCAATAAAAAAACACCTTACACACCCCAAAGCCTTAGCTATAGACCATGGTTTAATCAAGAAGGCAAGGAAATTATTCATTGGATACATATAACCTATATCGGCAAAATGTTGAAAGAATCCCAGTTATCAATGGTAAGTCATTTTTCTTCTACAAGAGTTCTTAAATAGCGAGTTAGATTAAACATAATCTTCCTGTTGGGTGGAGAAGTATATCAGGATAAGCTAAAGACTAATTTTAAATCTATTGCCATGTTTTAAAATGTTGATATATGTGGCACAGTTGTAGAGTCAAGACAAAACACTTCACCACTCGATGGTCGCCTGCCCAGCGCCAGTTTGTATGTATAGGACACCATTTTGGGGAGGTAGGATGTGATTGTGATGACGTAGGCTTAAGCCGTGAATCAACAGAAGCAAAGTAAAAGACGCCTCAAACAAATCGAATTAAGAAACCAATACCAACCTCAGACCCGGCAGTATATTTTGTAGCGAGGTTCATCCCCATATACCTCATCCAACCAGTGGCGCTGTTCCATACGGTTTGGGATCTGACATCATGGTCCTGAGGAATATCCTGATTACGAGTAAATCACGTATATAGTATGAATTATCACTCTCATTCTAGAGACTCATAGACTAGTAGACTGCCTTGCCAACGTTAGATGTCAATTTGTTTTAACCATTGTTTATTCACGAGGCCTGCATTTCTATCAGTCATAGAATAAGAAGTAAATTAAATTTCCTATGTGTATGCACATATGTGCTGAGAAAAAGTCTACACTAACTGTTATAACTTATTTACTGCTACGTGCACTAATGACATGATTCAAACTATAAATGGAGAATCTAAAGCAAAAAAAAATCAAATATTTACGCACGCCTTAAACCATACGTAAAGGTGTGTGTAGGGTTCAAATGTGTGTGCCATGGGATATCTAAAAACAGTTTCACAGATCTGATATATACCGTCACTGGTAAAATAACTAAACGTGTATTGTGCAGCGATTGCTTCATTAAGGCCATACCGACTTAATTTTATGAATGACATTCTCTGATGACCCCCTAACTAGTGCGCGCGAGCGAATAAAAAAAATCCGGTCAAAAATAAAAATGCTACTAAACCACAGGAATACAAAGCTGGTATTGTGAATTTGCGGCAGTACACAGCGACGTATACGACAAGCCGGCAGATGCTGGCTTTGTGCGTAATTTATAAATCGGCGTTGTACGTATGTACTGAGTTCTTGGATCTTGGAGCTTCGGTAGGCTGGGTGCCCGTGTCCGTATGTCGCTAACTACTATGGGCTTCCCATTCCTAGAGGCAGGCCAGAACCTCGGTGAATTACTTTTGAGAACAGGCAAAAATCAATGCGCGCTGGGATGTCATCCATAAAATTTAGTCGGCGTGGCCTTACATCGTATAATGCTTTACACCCTATAGCACAATGGATTACCTCAGCATCGTTCTGCAGGAATTCCTCATCATCTGCTAGAGGTGAGGCGGGTGGATTCTCGTCCTCCACGGGTTTCTGTGTTTTAACACAAGGATGGACAAAGTCAGCAGCAGTTATGGGTATCATTCCCTGTCAATTATTATCGTCACCGTCTTTTGCGTGCATTTTTCCATCTTTTTTGCTTTTTTTCTGTCTCCCCTTACTGTCTCTTTAACCCTAAACAGTACACCTGGGGTCCGCGCGGACCCCAGCACTATATATTCTGTAATATCTTTTTTGTTTCTAAAGATTTTTTTCTGAAATTTTAGGTAATTGTCACCCACAAAGTTGTCTCTCAATACAATGCAGTACAATCTGTTTCTACCATTTATAAAAAAAAATTATATCTGATTTTCTTTTGGGGTCCGCGCGGACCCCAGCCGTCTTTCGATCATAATGGATATAGTGAGTGAGTGTGGCGTTCTTATACATTACCTTATTTCCGCTTTTATATGTTTTCATGCCTTCATCGTATGTCTACTAAGTTTTCAGAGAATGGTGTAGTAATAGAATTAAATATTAATAACTTTGGTGTAATTATGACGTCATATGACGTCAGAGCTAATAATATAGTCCGCAATATTGGATTTTGACCAATGACGTCATCAAATTAGCATATTCTATGTATATTAAATGATTTAACTTATATTTAATTATGTAAGATGTTATTAATGTTGGAAAAGAAGTGTAATTTTATATAAAACTCAGAAAATTTTTATGTTTAAACCAAAATTACTTCTATTTTTAAAAAAACTACCCGTTGCCATGGCAACACAAAAAAACGTCAACTTACTAGTATAAAACTAATATGAACTTTTTTCCAGAGACATTTTAGGAAAGGTCTCCAAATTTGATACTTCTAGCGCAAGCCGTTTAGCCGCTATCTGAGATCAAAGTTGGGCCTCAAAAGCCCCTTCAGTCTGAAATGGGTTTAAAAATCGGGTATTTCTTCTTGTCTTCTTTTCTTCACCAAAAAATAGAAAAAGTTCAAAATGTATGATTTTTGTATGTAATGTGGACACAGAGGTTCCCACATCAGTTTGCAAAATAATTGAGCTGGTAGCATGTTGATAATTTCTAAAAATTAGCAAAAAACTGCTCTGGGGTCCGCGCGGACCCCAGGTGTACAGATTAATCAGTCCGGGAAGGTGTACTGTTGAGGGTTAATATGCCAATGCTTTAACTATTGCTCCTAATTTGTGTCAGTTACCGCCGTCTTCCGATTTCTCTCTCTATCTCTCTGTCTGTAACTCCGACTCTCTCCTACCTTGTATCTCTATCTCTTACATATCATTGTACATGTGCATTGAAAGAACGCTTTCAGCTGACAGCAATGCCTTTTTTGCCTTTTTCACAGTCACGTCAACATATCATTCAATATACAAAGTTTCAGTGTGGTTTTACAGCTAATTACATACAGTATTCTAACAAATTCTATCTGCCACCGGAAACGTTGACCAAAGCATGAGTGATCAAATCCATCATTGAAATATCATAGCAAGTCACCAGAGGCGCAAGAACAAGAAACAGTGAAGCCTTCAAATATCAGAGTTATTAACCAAGAATTAAGGTGTTCATAAACTTTCTAAGAACTGTGGTAGAGTGTCAGACAATGAACCGAGTTGAGCGAGTTGAACGTTTAATGCTTTTCCTAAGAGGTCTACAACAGTCCTCCACCGGACCTTCCCCCTCTCTAGCTTGGGCCCAACTGCCTGATTCCGGGCCCCACGCTCCCCTCATTGGGCCTACCCAAAGCCATTACATGTGCTCCGTCACATAGAGTATCATCATCAGAAAACTTTTAACAACTCATTCAATTACATATGCAAAAAATGATGTAACAGGTCGTTTGGTGTAATACAGCCGGCTGAAGCCGCGCAACTTGCCTGCGAAGCTGGTATGTTGCACTGAAGGGCGGTTATACCGGCTATACCGCTACAGATACAGATAATTGGCAAACTTACCCTGAAGAGCAGGGCAAAAACCACGGCCACCAGAACTAGCTTGACGGGTTGGATCAGCAGCATGTCGGTAAAAAATGACGTCAGGAAAGTGACGGCCCAGGCCTCCGCCTTCGCCGGACCGAAGCTGAGCGAGTACAGGATGGTGAAGAAGGCGGCCACGAAGCTCGCCGACCAGACAAGCAGCCAACCTGGAACATGGTGGTTATTGTAACGATGTACACGTAGGAAGTAAAACTTCAGCGACTTATGATAAAATAAAGCAAAAGATTGTAATTCAAACGCCTGGTTTCACGATACGACGTGCGATTTTAGCCTAAATGTACGCTCTTGCTGGACCTTATCTGATGGCAGCTGAATATTTTTTTTTTGTTTTCCAATGATATGCTAACATGCTTATAGGCTATAGAACTAAAGCGAATTTAGTTTCAAAGTTCACATAGCTCTAAGGGATTCTAGAAGAGAAATCGTGGACGAACTGCCACCGTTCTCTGGTCGCCTGGCTCCATTTTGATAACGTAGGATGTACCACGTGCCAAAAAACAGTTACTCAAGCAACTGGATATGATTTTGAAAACGTCAGACGTTTCAGCTAGTATCCACTAGCTTTCGTCCTTGACTGAGAGACCAGAGGGGAAAGCAGGTTTATATACACAACCTGTTGATTGATATGCAAATAAAGTGAAGACAAATTTTTTGAAGTCGAAAAAGGAACAAAAGTCAGACAAGTCAAGACAAGATGATGCAAATTAGTCTGAAAGCTCCTGTTATACAGGACAGGGGCTTAAGTGTTATCTGTCCTCGGGGCTGGGAGTGCCAAATCCCAAGTGCCGGAAAGGTCGACCCGTAGCCCCCCTTCCCTGTTGAGGGTGGGGTTGTACATTCTTTCATATATTGCCTCTTTAACACCCCGTTCCCACCAGCGTGTTTCGCGGTCTAAGACATCCGTGGACTCGAGTTTGAAAGAGTGACCCTGGTTGTGTTGTAGGTGGTGGAAAATAGCTGAGGAGTAGCCGTTGGCACTAGGTCGGCAATGTTCTTTGTACCTTACTTTAAGCGGTCGACTTGTCTCTCCGATGTAGGTGTTGTTACAATTGGGCTCCTCACATTTGAGTCTGTAAATAACATTCGCCTTGGTATCTTTGTGAGGTCGGTCCTTCGGGTGTACCAGTTTTTGTCTGAGGGTTGAGTGAGGTTTGAAGTTAGTGGCTATGTTGAAGTTTTGGAAGATCCGTCTGAGTTTCTCAGATACTCCTTGGACATACGGAATAGTGATGTTGGCCTTGTTTTTGTTGGTCAAAGGTTTGCACTTCTGGGTTTTCTTAGACTGATCTGAAGGTTTGAGCGCTTTGTTGAAAGTCCAGTTTTGGTAGCCACATTTAGCCAGGGCACCTCGGAGGTGTCTTTGTTCGTCCGTTTTGGCTTGGTCTGAAGTGACAATGTTGTCTGCACGATGGAAGAGAGTTTTGATCACTGCTAGTTTGTGTTCCAAAGGGTGGTGGGAATCAAAAGCCAGGTACTGATCAGTGTGGGTTGGTTTCCTGTACACTTCGAAACGAAGGTTACCATCTTCCTCTACGATAGTTTTGGTGTCTAGGAAAGGGAGCATGTTGTCATGGCTTGGCTCCTGTGTGAACTTGATGTTGTCATCTATCTGGTTGATGTGGTCAAAGAAGTCAGCAGCTACCCTCTTTTTCAATCTGCACCAAGTGTCATCTACATATCGAAACCAGTTGGCCGGGGGAGTGTCATTGAAAGTGCTGAGGGCTTTGTTTTCAAACTTCTCCATGTACAGGTTTACAACAATTGGTGAGACTGGTGATCCCATAGCACAGCCGTGCATTTGTTGGTAGAACTGTCCTTTGTAGGTAAAGTATGTGTTTCTGGCGATTTAATAATACATTGCTTAATGACACTGAGTATGTAAAATCTATGAAGCTTAAAATCGACGAGACTAAGGTAAAATACTCTTACGTTGAAGATATACAACTTTTGTGGGATCTGATTAAGATGGAAATAAGGTCTTATACAATATACTACTCCAAACAAAAGGCTAAAGAAAGGAAAAAAGAAGAACAAAAGGCAGAAGCAGAGACAAATAAGTTCCTAAGAAGTTACGAAACAGAATCAAATAAAGACACATGGCTTAAATATAGTTTAGCCAAAGAAAAGTTAGAAAAAATTAGACAATTAAAAGTCAAAGGGTCCATCATTAGAAGCCGGACCCGATGGCATGAAGAAGGAGAGAAAAGTACAAAATATTTCCTAAACCTGGAAAAACGCAACTACGATCAGAAATGTATTAACGAATTGATGACAGAAAATAATATACTCATTACAGATCCGCGTGAGATTTTGGAGGAAGAAAAAAAATTCTTCGAATCATTGTACACATCAAAACAAACAAATCCAGATGAAGCCGTATTTGACCAATTTTTCTCAAATAATGAAACGAACAAACTTTTACCTGATCAACAAGAAAAGTGTGAAGGTAATATATCCTTACTTGAGGCCCACTCTGCATTAAAAAAGATGGCAGAAAAGAAAAATAGGACACCAGGGACGGACGGCCTGACTTTTGAATTTCTCCTGCATTTTTGGGATAATATCAATGGTGAGATGGTCAGTTCGTTTAATGCAGCGTTGGAAAAAGGGGAACTGTCAACATCTCAGAAACGTGGTATCATAAGACTTATACCTAAAAATGGTGACACAAGGAAACTTGAGAACTGGAGACCTATATCATTATTAAACTGCGACTATAAAATCCTCACTAAATGTCTTGCTAAGCGGATAGAACCCATCCTACCACACTTAATACATGAAGATCAAACTGGGTATGTTAAGGGGAGATATATAGGAACTAATGTTAGACGTATTTGGGACATTATACATGGCACAGAAATGGCACAGTCCAAAGGTATAGCTTTATTCGTCGACTTTCGAAAAGCTTTTGATTCGCTTGAATGGAATTACCTAGATAAAACACTACAGACCTTTAATTTCGGCCCAGGGTTCAGAAAATGGATGTCGGTACTGTATAAAAACGCTTGTAGCTGTGTTATAAATAATGGCTTTATTTCTGAATGGTTTAGTCTTGAAAGAGGAGTAAGACAGGGAGACCCCCTTTCGGGCCTACTCTTCATAATAGAAGAAGAACTGAAGAAGAATATGCAAAGACCCCTGACCTGCCTCCCCTTGACCTCTTGAAAAACGGCTTAGGCCGAAGAGTTTGTACTGCTACGAAATTGTACTGTACATTTTCAAGGTTAAATAAAGGTTGAAAAAAAAAAAAAAAAATAGGACTTGAACCACTCGCCAATAAAATTCGATCAGATGAAAGAATTGGCGGAATTATCATAAGCAAGCAGCTAACAAAAAACCTAATGTACGCTGACGACACTACAATCTTGACAAATGGAGTTGAGTCAGCGAAAAATGCTCTGTCAGTCTTAGAAACGTTTGAATATTGCTCAGGACTTCAAGTTAGTAAGAAAAAAACAGAAGCCATGTGGCTGGGTACAAATAAGGACAGAAAGGACACACCTCTAGGTGTCCACTGGCCAAGCAAGCCAATCAAATGTCTTGGGGTCCATTTCTCCTATGACAGAAAGAAATGCGAAGAACTGGACTTTGATGAAAAGTTGAAGAAAATGAGAAACTTGTTAAATATTTGGTCAGGAAGAGATTTAACTTTAATAGGAAAAATCCTCGTATTTAAGTCACTAGCTGTATCCAAACTAATATATAATTGTTCAGTACTCAAAGCCCCAGAAGACTTTGATAAGAAAGTCAATTCAATAGGACTGAAGTTTATATGGAATAACAAATCACCAAAGGTCAAGTTGTCAACCCTAATGGGAAACAGGGAACAAGGTGGCTTAAATATGATGAATTTTACTTGCATGTTAAAGGCACTGAACGCCAGCTGGATAAAGAGAATATACACAACAAATGTATTAGAATATCACTTCCACTGCTTTGGGGGAACTTTTTTATTTAAGTGCAATTTCTCAGTTAAAGCATTGAATGTTAAGAACATGCCTTCTTTTTATGTAAGCATGTTAGAAGCATGGGAGGAGTTAAATTCACACCGCCCACAAACTAAGGAGGAAATAAGACATGAATTTCTTTGGAACAATCAATACATAGTACAAAACTGTAAATCGATTTTCTGGAAAAAGTTGTTTGAAGAGGGAATAAAAACAATTCAGCACATAGCCGATGAACATGGTAACATTTTAACTCCTGAAGATTTAAGAAAAAAATATTCAATTTCCTTGAATGCATCAGAGCTCCTAAGATATTATGGGCTGCGTGAATCCATCCCCACGAGTTGGAAAACGACCTTGAAAGAGCCTGACAGTATGTCTGTATGTAATATTAACGAACAAACACAGGAAATAGACATACAGAAAGTAACAAACAAAATCTTGTATAAGAAATATGTAGCAAGACTGTATGTCCCTCCAACAAATGTACATAATTTAGAAGAGATCTTTCAAGGGGATGTAATTCCTCGACTTTTCTTCGCCCCAAGTCGACTAGTTGAGACGAAACTGCAAAACTTTATGTTTAAGATATTACATAACTTCTTGCCAACAAAAATGTGGTTGTATAAAAGGAAAATAGGCGAATCAGGATTATGCCAACATTGTAATACAGAACAAACTATAATGCACCTGCTTTATCAATGCAAGTACGCACAACGAATTTGGGTTGAATTCTTTAAGTGGTGGAAAATTGTGGTAGGAAAAGACGTTAAGTTAGACCCACACGAAATAGTGTATGGTAGTGTCGATATGTCGAACAAAATGTACTTCTGTGTTACTGATATTAAGTTTTATTTATATAAGATGTACATTAAGGATTTACTTCATTTTACTAGCTTCGAAGAGTGTAAGACTAGATTTAAAACAATTCACTTCTGATTTTATGATGATTGTAAATACGGGGGGTAACTGATGGTGTGGGCATCTCAGGTTGTTTTTTAATATTGCTAACATTGATCATGTATGTATAGTATTTGTATTTTTATACTGTAAACCGTTGTATGTGTCATACTGTATGTAATGTTTTCTGTATTTTGTTAATAAAGTGTTATAAATAAAAAAAAAAAAAAATAGTGCATCCTAAGCAGAGTTCTAGTAGCTCACAAACTTGGTCAACGGATAGGTTGGTTCTATCTGCAAGTGTATCATCGGCTTCCAAGGCTTCCTTGACTACTGACACTGCTTCCTTGGGTGGTATGGAGGTGAAAAGTGCGCACACGTCATACGAAGTGATGGTTTCATCATCCTCTACATGAATGTCTTTGATTTTGTTGACAAAGTCGGCACTATTCTGTACATGGTGCTGAGATTTCCCCACCAGTGGTCCTAAAATCTTGGCTAGAAAACCTGCTAACTCATAGGTGAGAGAGCCTATACTGGAGACTATGGGTCGTAGAGGGACAATTTGTTTGTGGATTTTGGGAAGGCCGTAGAAAGCAGGGGGTTGTTCCGTTGTGGGATTGAGTTTTAGGTAGGTGGGGCGATCCAGAACTCCTTCAGTTTGCAATTTCTTGAGAGCTGAACTGATTTTCCCTTTAAACTTGTTAGTGGGGTCCTTTTTCAAGGGCATGTAGGTGTCTTTGTCTCCCAATAGGTCCTGTACCTTCCTGTCGTACTGCTCCCTGTCTAAGACTACTGTGCATCTGCCCTTGTCTGCAGGAAGAATCAATATGTCTTGATTGGTGGCCAAATCTTTGAGAGCGGTACGTTCTTCCCGTGTGATGTTACTAGCAGGGGGTTTGGAGACTTTCAGGGTGGTAGCTACTTTGGTGCGCAAGGCTTCAGCTTGTCTCTGTGGTAAACGTGCTCGACGAATTGCTGACTCGGTTTCTGTCACAATGTCAATGCTGGGAATCTTGTTGGGTGCTACTGCAAAATTTAGACCTTTTGAAAGTAGTGATTTCTCTGGTTCTGTGAGAGTATGGCTACTTAGGTTTTTTACCCACCTCTCGTCGGTTTTGGCCTGTGTAGTGGTTTTGGGTTCGGAACTGTTTGATCTCCAATTTGGGTCACTATCTGCTGCGCTAATAGTCTTCTTTTGCTGTAAACGATCAAATTTGGTCTTCTGTCTGTCTTTTCCCTTCTCGTGCTGATCAAGTTGTCCGCGTGTTATGAACTCTTTAGTTTCGGCAAAAATCTCGTCTGATAGTTTCTCCCTCAGTAGTTTTTCAAGGTTAGATTTCCTCGCGTTTAGACCGTCTAATTTGTAGTTGATCTGTCTTACCCTTTCGTTTAGTAACTTTCTTTCCGCGTTGAAGATGATCTTGTTGGCGTTGAAGCCTCTGATGGAAGTTTTTAGGCGTAGGCTGGTGGGTGTGATACTTACCTTGAGGCAGCGTAGACTGAAGCGTAGATGATTCCGGAAATCTGCAATCTTCCTGCTGGTCTTCTCCAGATCCCTCACAGAGCTCAGGCAAAACTTACCGTAATGATCCAAGATACGTCGATGAAGGTTAGACATCCAGGTAATACGATATGCCAAAAAACAGTTACTCAAGCAACTGGATATGATTTTGAAAACGTCAGACGTTTCAGCTAGTATCCACTAGCTTTCGTCAGTGACTGAGAGACCAGAAGGGAAAGCAGGTTTATATACACAACCTGTTGATTGATATGCAAATAAAGTGAAGACAAATTTTTTGAAGTCGAAAAAGGAACAAAAGTCAGACAAGTCAAGACAAGATGATGCAAATTAGGATGTACCATGTTATGTTAAAACGATTCAATACTTACCTAAGAACACACACCACGAGGGGAGAGAGAACTTCTTTGCCGAACCGGGTCGCTCATTTTCATCATTTCCCGGGCTGCGATCGAGGTGAGTCGTTCCTGACGATTGTGTACCGCATGCCGCGACATGTTTGTCTCTCACGGCCATGCCGACGGCAGGTCTGTTGGTCGGGCACCAATAGGACGGTGTGTTAGAACTATCGGAGGAAGAAAGTTCCTTTATTGTATTGTTTTCTTCGTTCCAACATATTATACACATAATAAAGAATGGAAGATAAAACAAACAGTGTGCAGGAGTGGTAAGAAGCTTGGTAGGCTTATATTAAGTCAGCCTTCTTTAGACATAACAATTATTAACCAATGCCATCGGTTCGAAAAATTAACAAAAAAAGGATATTGCAAACCTAATATTTTTTTATTAAGAATAGCAAATGTTTATTCACAAGAGCCGACGTTTCGATTCACGGCGGTCTGTCACTACGGTATTCTTTCCCATTGCTAGGGGGGTTCGAAAACGTATCGGGTTACAAGACGCAAGTTTAGCCTGTTTTGGACTACCCGTAAACCACTTGAAAATAAACAAATAGTATTGAAGGGTAAATTCCGTCAAACTAAAATATACTTTTCGTCTTTACATAGGTTTAATGTTAGTTGCCTACGTTGAATTGCTAATTTAGAAAAAAAATCTCGCTCTGAAAGACGATTTTTTTCGGGATTTGGAGCGCCAGTCCGAGTCATGTTTTTAGGCAAACACCGTTTAAGATTGGCTACGTATATTACCTAAAATCCCCATTTTTTTAATTTTTCGACGACTAGGAATAAGATCTAAAATTGTGTCTTAGGAATTTTTTAATTTCTAATTTTAAGTATAGTTTTTGTCGACATAACTGTGAAAAACGGCATTTAAAACATTTTTCGAACTAAATTGCGATTCTTGACAAACCCGTTACGGTCATTTTGAGCCGTCAATGAGATATGTTGGACTCCCCATGCTTCCAATCTTAAACGAGTTTTGTACGCATGCCATACGGCATCGATATGAGCAGTGTTTACTTAGGCTGGTGAGTACAAGCTTTGTGATCTTCAAGGTCACCCACGATAACGGCAGTAGCTTCCTTTCATGTTCCAGCCCACTACAAAATGAAGGCAAACATGTAGTTGTCCAGAAAATGGTTTAAATTTGTTAAAAGGTGGATTTTTTCTGTAAAAAGGGGCCAGAAGACCCAGGTTTACCGTAAATGACCGCGGGTGACCCCATTTCGAACACCGTTCTATTCGAATTACGTCAGATCGAACACGGTTCGGGTTCTACTGCAGGTGGCCCAATTTTGACCACCGTGGATTGCCGTCTGTCATTTTCATCAGGGCTAAATTGACTGATTCACTGTGCACTGAAACCCGGTTTTAATTTACTGTTTTTTAACGTTGCAATATCAACCTAATACATATAATTAGGATTTAACAAAAAAGTTAAAATGAAAAAGTAAATGTAAGGACCGAACAACCAATATGCTACAAATTAATATGACTGAGATTTTTTACCCAAATGAACCATCCAGCTTCGAAGATTCCAGGACGGGGACATCTGCCGACTGAGGTTTTGTTTTCTCATCGTTGGTTGCTGTTTTTGTGTTTCTTCCGGAATAGCGGAAGAAAAGGGCGATCAAGAGATTGACAGGGAGAATGATGAGTGCACTCTGTACGCCGATCATCAACTGAAACAGCACCAGAAACACTTTTATGAATTGTTGTGAAAAGTTCCATCTGGTTGGCAAGCCATTGAATAAAGATACAAGCTGTACATACTACATTAGCCAAATGTTTTAGTTCGTAGACGTTTCGGGGTTTCATATTCATCAGGGTAAATCTGATTGGTCCACATTGCATGGTCCAGAACCACATTGTAGATACTTTTCACTTTAACTTTTTTTTTTCATGACAAAAATTATGTATCTATGACACTCTTGTATGTTTAGCTACTGTTCTGTTTAACCGTTTAGAATTGCGTTCCCCAAAGTAAAATATCTCATTTCAGTTGTACAAAAACTTGTACTTTTCATAACGTCCTTTTCCAACTTATGTGCAGAAATGAACACATGCACAAGGGTTTATTTTCCATACTCAATATATTCCCTACCTGCGGTAGAGAAATTGGTGGCTTGATCTCCACACCGGCCAACCTGATCGGTTCTGGCGGGTCGAAGTCGTCCCCGCGGCCGAAGAACATTATGTTGGTAAACATGGTGCAGTAGAGCAGCGTCAGGCAGCAGGACAGCCGCTGGACTCGGGTGAAGGGGCTCCGCGCGGGACGTAAAGCAACGGAAAACCACATATGATCGTCGCTCATGTCCCTAAGTAAGACATGCAAAATAAATGTCCCCGACCAATTCGGAGTAATTTTGTGCGTTAGGTACAGTTACATAATTATTCCCCAAGCAGAAGTTTGGGTATTGCCTTATCTTTGGCGTGTTTTTTTTAACCCTCAAACACCCGAACGGGGTCCATTTGGACCCCAGACGTATATTTTTATGTGCTATGAATTTTTTTTCTATTCTAAAAAAATTCCTCCCGTGACTTTGTCAGTAAACCTCTTCTACAAGTTCTCCTAATTTTTGTTTGGAGATCGGCACAAATTTGTAAAAATAACAACGGAAGTCTGATGTAAGACAGTCTGGGGTCCAAATGGACCTCAGCCATGTATTTGCACTTTCCTACACACGAAATTGTTCGAATGTCCTCTATATGTCTTCAAGGATGCATTGTTGCTTTGATATTATGCAGTTTGCCAAGTAACCTCCACCTCAGGAATTATTTCATCAGGTTTTCAGAGGTTTGACAATTTGACAATCATATGAGGTCAAAGGTCAACCCCATGTTCATGCATGCAGGCCTCATCCTATTTTTGCATAAATCATGAATTATGAACAGGAATTTTTTAACACTTGATCATGTCAAAATAAACGTCTTAATATGTTTAACCAATATATGTGCAAAGGTCACTGAAAGGATGCAAAAAGGAATATAAAGTTGAAAGAAACCAAATGGGGTCCATTTGGACCCCGTTCGGGCATTAACGTCACAAAAAAGTTCGGGTGTTCGGGTGAGGGTTAATTTTTTTTATGCGCGTTTATTTTTTGCACTTAAAAATTTTTTTACGCTAACCCAACGAAAAAAAAAAGATTCCAGTAAAAAAATAGCGATGAAAAACTAAAAACAAAGCCAAAACCTAAACATTTTCTTGGAGGGTAACAGTTACCCAGCACAGCGTATTTTAAGTTTCAAAACATGTTTTTATGTGAAATTAAACATCCTATACATACATAAGATCCAGTCACATCTTTTTAATGGTATAAGCTAAAAAACACTTTTATCCAGGCACTCTAAAACACGCTTATAAGAAATTAAACGAACTAATAAGAAATGCAAAATAAAGTGTCTCTCAAATTCCGAGTTAAAGGTTTATTTCAATGTAAACGTGTGAAGTATAATTTGATATCAAATATAATTTGATATCAAAATCAAATAATTCTACGTATAATTTGATACCAAAATCAGTATTCTAATCCGAAAGACCAGTAAACCTCTAGAAAATATTTTTAGAATCCAGATATCACTTACGATGACAAAACAACACTTAAAAGGCAAAAGCTTTGGTGAGCACATGTACCTGTAGCTTTTGGCCCAAAACACGTTGCGAAACTTCGCCAATTCCTCCGGTGGAGCCGAGGGAATCATGCGGTCAATCTGCCCATCTTCCTCATCGACACCAAACCACCTGCAAAACAAATGTTTGGATGTCCTTGTACAGTTTCAGTTGTGCATTGTCCACTATTGGTAAACACGCTTTTTGTGGAGTGAGCCCTGTGTATCTAACTACAACTTTTACTCCCACTTTCAGATGCAATCCAATGTAACCCCGATTTCAGTGCAAAATAAACTTTGAGAAAGAATTTGCATTTATTTCTCTATTCGCACATAGTGTAAATACATTACTATAAAAAGCAAATAATACGTGATGCAAGAGAAAGACAGAAGCCTATTATGAGGTTATTCTGTTGACTTAATAACAACTAAATGATAACTAACAACCACTAACACTTTAAGTTTAAAAAAAAGAATCCATAACTTGAGATACAAAAGTAATGAGAAAACTTAATAATTAGATGTTCGTCCCCATAAACTGACAAAATTTCGTGAGTTCCTGTTAAGAGTCTTTAAGAAAGTCTCACACAAATAGTTATAAAATCCCGGCCCACTAGCATTAGATAGTGACTTTAAATACCTGTTTGCCAAGAAATAGGTTGTTTCGTTCGTCCCTCTGTTGACAATAACCACTTGACTGAGGAACCTGACAAGGGCAAAAAAAGTACTATCAGCAAATTTAGTAATCCTAACAGCATAAATTAGCAAATATAGCATTTTACCATAGGTTAGATACATAATCTTTGTTTATTGTCTGATAATGTATGTTATTATTTTGTCTTATTCAAGCAGAATTTGGGAATTAATTAAGTTCCACACTTTAAATTACAAAAATATTATTAACATTTAGATAGAATGCATTAATCAATCAGAAGCCAGCCTTTCCACCTTTTCCCCTTATTTTTATCCACTGAATAAACCACTAAGTGTTGCAAAGTGTTTTTTATTGTTATTTGGATCAGAGCAGACCTTAGGTCACCATGCTATGTTTACGCTGACACTATGACATACACACCTCATAGCGGTAAGTAACTTCTTGATGTGACGTTTTGTAATAATCAGGCTTACCCTTGTCCTGTTGACATTCCTGGCACACTATTTTTCAATAATTCCATGTCTAAATTAGGTCACAGACCCCCAAATTTGCCCTGCAGTGGCATAGTTACTTCCGCATTCGTTGCGTTTCGCTGCGGTGTGAAGCGTTGCACGAGAAATCCCCCCAAATCGTACCAGTACAGAGTGCTATTAGATGGTACTGTATGTGCAGAACAACACTTGTAGTGCTCCACAGGACAAGGGTCATAACATCTAAATATTAAATAATTAAACGTAATAATAAAATTGCTCACCATGCAGGGCTGTACCCGGCGTTGTTGTGCCACACACGCAGATGAGTCAGTGGCCCTACAGGCTGTTCTATGGAGACCAGGAAGGAATCCACACTTCCACGCTCAAACAGAAACCGCTGGGAGTCTTTGAGTACGATCGCGGGGCTGTACTCCGTAAAGCCGTACAAGGAGATGGAAATCTGAAATAGATACATTACCATTCCATATCACACATATTTAATCAAAAGGTAAAATAAAATTTGCGGTTGCAATAAATAGCAATGCCCCCATTGGTAGATCGCCTTTTTTTTTAGAGTGTGAGCCTTGCACATCTACGTCCAGGCGTTATCTAGCCATCACTGTACTGTAGTGATAGGGCAGTAAGAACCACACGGCAAAGTGTATCAGACCTTTTGTATGTGCCAAGGGTTCGTCGGGAAGTGTACAGAAGATCGATTTCCTACTCAGGCTCAGTACTGTGGAATAATTTATCAACTGAGTTAAGAACGGCTACGTCAGTTGCAGCTTTTAAAAACCGGCTACGTCAAGTCACAAGATAGATATTAGAATGACTAAATTTGTGAACTGAAATTTGGATGCTTGATACTGATGAGTTATACGAACCGAGATAGTGTTTGGTTTTGTATCCTTGTATATATTTATATTGTAATTATACGACTGATTGTAACTGAACGGAAGAATTTGCAAAGACCACTGACCTACCTTCCCTTGACCACTTGAAAAACGGCTTAGGCCGAAGAGTTGTACTGATACACAATTGTACTGTACATTTTCAAGGTGAAATAAAGGTTGAAAAAAATCACTATCACCATCATTAAATGAAATAAACATGATTGTGCCAAAGGTAAGTCTGGTAGGTATGTTTCAGAACCGTTGCCTAAACAACAGAGACACATGTCAGGCAAGTCTTATAACGTTTGCCTAAAAGTATAAAGTTGCCTTGAAGCCTGCAAGTACCAAATTCTAGTCTGTACAAGACTCTTTTTTAGTCTGCAATAATGGTAGAAATCGGCACAAAAGATAATGTAGCTGGTCAAGGGAGTCGGCCGTCCATAGAGAAGCACCCAGGCATATTAGACCCTCTTATATGCCTGGGCTGAGGGCTCTCAGCTACATTTCTTTTAAGACCGAATTCTACTATTTATTCAGAGGAGTCTGGTGGGGACAGGACATAATCAACAATTCCCTGCCTTAGCTGGCATTTATCGTCATTTTTTCCTGCAGTAATAACAGAACACTTACATCAGCAGTAGTGCCAGCGTTTCCCCGCAGCCCGGTGTACACAGTAACCACGTACTGACAGTCCTTCCTGGGGTTCAGCCTGTGGCCGGGTAGCAGCCAAAGTCCAACCTTTATTTTTATTTTTTGCAAGGGAAAAGACAGTCATTCCATCCCCCATATAGCCATTTTAAAACGAACGACATTTCTGTAAAACTCTACATATTTTATTTCATTATGTTTTTGCTCGTGATATGACCTGACCGGGATTCTAACCCGCGTCTTCTCGAATACAAAGCGAACGGTCTACCGTATGCTATTGTAAAGGACCAAATGTACGCATGAGGCCGTAAACTTTTTGGCGACGCCTCAGGGGCGGAGCCCTTAGTATAGTACTGCGATTGAATTGCCAGGAATTCTAAATATTCCACGCACGCATTCCCTAGGGAATTCATTTTTGGCAACACCTTGCGGGTGAGGTCTTCCCTCCCAGCTGTTTAGCCGTTTTTCAATGACTTTGGAGCTTTTTCGACAGCTTGGTCAGGATCATTGTTTGGAATTGAACATGGTCAGCATTTGAAGTCAGATGTTTCAAATGAGATGTCGTGATTGTCTGAATATAAACCAATATGTCACCGCGTTTAGTTGTTTTTGTTTCTAGTAGTTTTCCTTCTCTTTATGAAAAGTATGTGTTTGGACATAAACCCAACGGATGAATTCAAGTTCTTTTCAATGTTTTAAAGGAGATGTCGTGACTGTC